ATTTCAAGGAACCGGATGCTTATTTCGAATTTTATGATTGTTTTTTGTTATTCAAAACTATGACCCTTTGTAGGAGAGGTACCAGAAGGAATAGTCCGATCTCTACCATCTTTATAACAGATCTTGTGTTGATGGAAATATTGAGATGTACTAGCTCTGAATGGAATCGGATATTAATTTCCCTTTTATTAGCTTCAGGGATACTTAAAATTTTGACTCTTTGTGGGGGGGGGGGGGCTGTTAACAGAAGAAGTGGACCGATATATCCCGATATATCACACACTAGACCTTAGGTTAATAAAAATATTGTGATTTGTGTAAGTTGAAGTGAACCGGAAACTTATTTCGAATTTTATGATTGTTTTTTGTTATTCAAAACTATGACCCTTTGTAGGGAAGGTACCAGCAGGAATTGTCCGATCTCTATCATCTTTATAAGAGATCTTGTGTTTATAGAAATATTGAGATGTACAAGCTCTGAATGGAATCGAATATTAATTTCCTCTTTATTAGCTTCATGGATACTTAAAATGTTGACCCTTTGTAGGGGAGGTACCAGCAGGGATGGTCCGATCTCTACTATATTTATAAAAGATCATCTGCTAATGGAAAGCCAAGTCCGAATGGAATCGGATGTTAATTTCGCGTTTAATGAGCTTCATGAATATTCAATATTTTGACCCTTTGTGGGGGAGGTACCGATATATTCCCGCTTCACACCAGACCTTGGGTGAATACAAATATTGTGATGTTTATAATTTGAAGACCATCGGCCACTTACATCAAATTTTATAAGAATTATAATTATTCAAAATTTTGACCCAATGTGGGGGAGGTACTTGATAGAGTGGACCAATATTGTCTATTTTCACATATTAGGATTTGCAAAATTGAAGCAAAATCGGATTATCCTTTCACTTTGTGTGCTGAAAAAAATATTTTCTTTGAAAATTTTGATACTTTTTTTTTGAAAAATAAATTGTTCGTCTACCTCTGTTCGGGGATGTTTAAAAAATATTTTTTATGCACAATAAAGTCGTGAGGTTTTGAAAATTATATATTTTTTTAGAAGGCTATCATTTTGGAGATTTCCTAAAAATTTTCAATTCATGTCCATGGCACATGTCCATTAAGCAGTCGAGAGCAAATAAATATTTTTTTTAATGTCTTAAAGGTGATTTCAGGGCCACCATAAACTCTGTGGGAGTTGATCATAAAATGTAACTCCATGAAATCAGTTTTATTTGCTCACTTTGTATAGCTCTTTCTCTATCTCTCTCTTTTAAAATTACCATGTTATTTTGGTTCCTGCAACTATTTTATCCCCTTAGTTATCTTTATGCCCAATCTTAATGAAAATTTTTGAAAAAAATTCAAAAATTATTGTCATAATAAAATTATTATCGTAATGTATTTATCTGGTGGTTAGGTGGCTAACTAGCCTTTCAAAGGCTATTCAGTGGTCCCCCAGCTCCCGCGCAGCGCACCATATGGGATGTCTTTTATGTTGGCCACTTATCAACACCATCATTATTAATGATGCAAATTAAGGAGTGGAATTTTAATTATTTAATTTAACCATCCATCGAGAATTAGGGGGGAGGGTAGGGTAGGGGGAGGCATTGAAGAAATCCTAGTTTTTATTACGCGCTTTGGAAAAAGTGACTATGTAAAGCTAACAAGGAACCTGGAGATAACCGCTCATCATAATGGTTATCAACACGCAATAATGAAGGTGGAAATAAAGATGACTGGGCCGGGAATAGGACAGAGTTGGCCAGGCGGCCATCAAATGTTGACAAGCCAAAAGAAAAACCAAAAAACAAAAAAAGGGGTTATGGCTAACAAGCCATTCATCCATGATGGCATTCCACAAGTAAGCATGACAATAGTTGTTGTTGTTGTTGTTTTTGGTTACAACAACTAACAAATGACAGTAATAACGATAATTATGAATTTTATCCGATTAAAAACAATGCTCATTTACCTACCCATCCACTTACCTCCAGCGAGGAGAACACTAAAAGGTCCTTGCATGGCCAGGCATTAGGATATTTCGACTATCCTTTGGCCTCCCACCCCCGACCTGCTGAGCTAAATGGCTAACTGAGTGGCTAACTATGAATGAGTGTGTGTCAATGCTGGCACGCTGTGTTGCGGGTATTTAACGCATTCAGAACCCTCCAATACCCCACCCCCCACTCACAGCACAAGGATGCGACAGCCAAATGCGTGAGCCATGATAATTAATTTTTAACTAATTTGTATTTATATGCATTTCTGACACATAACAGTTAATACGCATACGAAGTTGGATTGGCTGGACAACAAATGTCACAGAAGTCCAAAAACACCCACACACACAGAAATCCTTTGCCCGCCTGGGCCTATTATTTTGTGCCACAGGCCATAACTCTAACACTTGGATAATTGTGGGCTGATGTGTGTGTGTGTGAGAGCGCGCGCTCTCCGAGCGGGGAGGGGAGTACAATATTTAGTCATTGTCACTATTTTGTGGCCGGCTCTCGTGGAAAATTGCCTACCCCCACCCTCCGGCCTTTGATGCGTGTCATAAGGCTCAATTATATTATGACACTGGTAATTAAATTTTAAGCCATCATCAGCGGTGAAATGGACTTCATTTAACTTCACATTTGGAAATTTATTAAGAGTCAGTCGGTCAGTTTGTCAGTTCGGAAGCCGGCCAGCCAGGTTCTTGGAGGAAATGTATGAACATGAATTTGGTGAAAAATTACCTGTTTTTCCCCCCGCGCTTGCAAAGCGGATTATTTGTTTGTATTTCAAGGGTGTGTGCCTGATGTCAATGTATTAGTTGCTGGGCCTACCCACACACACACACACACTCGCACACCTACACACATGTGCATAGAAGAAAGATGATCCTTGGTTTTTGATAAATTCTTATTTATGAAAAGTACTTTTACATACTTGGACATTTATCATGTACCCCCGTCCTTCAAGATTCAGAGAATTTATACCTTTCAAAAATGTAATGATGTCCAAGAAGGTGACACACACATGTGTTGTGCCCTTGGATGGGCCAGGGAGGAGTGTTCTTAATTGAATTAAAAACAAAATCTAATTTATTGCAACCTCAATATATGGTTCTAAATTAAACAAGTTAAAAAGCAGTAAGTTCGGTCAGGCCAAAATTTGAATACCCTCCACCATTTGGAACGAATTCGGAAATTTTCAAAAAATAACATACTTAAAAAATTCTGTTAAAATTTTAAAAATACCGAATATAGCCGTTATAATGGGGTGTATACGACGTGGACCTACATAGGCACTGTTTGCCATAATCAAATTCGAAACTTGAAATAAACGGTGAATAATGTAGCTAAAATCATCAAAATATCGTATATCGGGTGGCACCGTTATATCAGAGCTGTGCGAAGACCTGGACCAGCGTAGACAATTTTTGTCGCAGGCTGTTGTATCCATTACCAACTTCAAATACGACATCTCAAACAATTTCGATGGGTATTGTACCTAAAATCGTCAAAATACCGAATATAAGGAGGTACTGATATATGGAGCCTATACAAAGACCTGGACCTGTACAGGCAATTTTCTGTCACAGACTGTAGTTCCCATTACGAACTCTAAATACGTAATTTGAAACCATTCTGTTGCATAATGACGCTAAAATCATTAAAATACCGAATATAGGGAGGTAATGTTATATGGGCGCTATACGAAGACCTGGCCCTGCATAGACAATTTTCTGGCATAGGCTGTAGTATCCATTACGAACTTCAAATACGACATATCAAACAATTTCGGTGGGAATTGTACCTAAACTCGTCAAATATAAGGAGGTACCGAATATATGGAGGTACTAATATATGGGGCTTATATGAAGACCTGGACCTGCACAGGCAATTTTCTGTCACAGACTGTAGTTCCCATTACGAACTCTAAATACGTAATTTGAACAATTCCGGTAAATAATGTCGCTAAAATCATCAAAATACCGAATATCGGGGGGTACTGTTATATGGGGGCTATACGAAGACATGGACCCGCACAGACAATCTTCTGGCATAGGCTGTAGTATCCATTACGAACTTCAAATACAAAATGTGAAATAATTCCGGTAAATAATGTCGCTAAAATCATCAAAATACCGGATATCGGGTGGTACCGTTATATGGGGGCTATACGAAGACGTGGACCCGCACAGACAATTTTCTGTCATAGGCTATAGTATTCATTACGAACTTCAAGTACCAAATTTGAAGTAATTCCGGTAAATAATGTCTCTAAAATCATCAAAATACCAAATATTGGGAGGTACCGCTATATAGGAGCTATACGAAGACGTGGACTTGCATAGGCAATTTTCCGTCATAAGCTGTAGTATCCATTACGAACTTCAAGTACCAAAATTGAAACAATTCCAGTAAATAATGTCGCTAAAATCATCAAAATACCGCATATCGGGAGGTACCGTTATATGGGGGCTATACGAAGACGTGGACCTACATGGCCCATTTTCAATACCAAAAGTCCTGCAGACATAATACACATTTGAGTAAAATTTTATCCATCTACTTCAATTCGTTCGGAAGCTAGAGTGATTTCCACCGAAGGACAGATGGATAGACGGACAGCCGGACGGACATCGCTAAGTCAACATAGAATTTTATGCTGATCAAGAACATATATACTTTGTGGGATCTAAAGAGTGTATTTCGAGATGTTACGATCGGAATGACAAACTTAATATACTCTCCATACTCTGGTGGAGGGTATAAAAAAAAGACCAGGGAATCCACTTAAAAAAATCTAGAGCTAGACATGTACCCTAAAAATTTTTGAGAGAATTCGAAATTATTTTTTTATATCTGCCAAAGAGGTGGTACAATCCTCTATTGGGAATAAAAATTATTTTTTTTTATTCCACGAGCAGCAGAATTCCCTTACTTTTTCCCTCATCTTTCAAATTCGAATTTTCCCACCAATAAAAGCAAGTATTGAAAGTGAAATTCCGAAAATATTTATTTAAAAATTAAAATTATGCCGTTCATCTTTACCGCTGATGCATCCATTATTTTTTCCGTATCGTAAACTCAAACACTTGGCGCCGAAGTGGCCGGTGCAGCGGTGGTGGTACGATTACGGCCACAACCACCACCGGGGCCACGATGAGCAGCCGTATCCAAAACATGGAAACCAGCCTCCAACACACGGTCAATCATCAAGGGTGTAGAACACTATCAAAGGGATTAAAAAATATTTAGATTCAATATTTTATTCAATATTATTTTTTTATTTTGAAATCTTACCACAAGGCCCACGAAGAATATGGCCAATAAAATTACCAAACAAGATTTCAACATTTTGTTGAGAAAATTCGACTTATCTTGGAAACGATGCAAATGAAACTGAATTTTTGCAAATGTTTGGATTTGTGAAAGTTGCCATTGAATTTTATAGAATTATTTGGAAGAGGAAATTAAAATAGTTAACAATTATTATTGTTATGGCTTAATTAAATTTGAAATATGCCACGGGTTGTTTGTGAAAGAGGCATTAAAGCGTAACCGTCAAAACAATTACTGAAATCACAAATTAAAGTGTTATACTGCAATTATAAAGTGTTATACAAATTAAAGTGTTATACCGCAATTATAACACTTTAATTTGTGAATAATTTTTGTGCCACAATCTTTTAAACCCACTGCCACACAATGGTGACCAGCAGCCCCCCCTTCCCTCACATTTCTAGCCCGCAACCCTAACCAAATTTCGAAAGTGTCATAAATCATAAACAAATCAATTTAGAGCCGAACAATTTGTTATCGATACCGATTAAACAGATTTTGGCCACATGACGTGCCACTCGAGGCCAGCAACACAAAACGTTGCCATAAATCACTTGGGTGATGCAGCCCCGGTCCGCTTAAACAGTCGGCCAGGCAATGAAGCATAACTGCCCAGGCAATGCAACCCTTTCAATATTTGCAACATTTGAGCTGCCAAGCAACAGCCACAACACAACCGACTCTCCTTTAAAAGGCTTTCACAACAAATCAAGCATTCATTGATGCCATCCATGTGTGAGTGTGTCAGTCTGTGTGTGTGTGTGTGTGAGAGAGTTCGAACATTTTGCAACATAATTCAAAAATTGCAACACAATCAATTGCATACAAATAGGCCACAATACACGCACACCCCTCCCTACCCCCTCACTGCAAGCATAACCGTCTGCCTGCCAAACATTTTCTCCATAAATCTTTCACACCCTTCCTCGATGATATCATCTGCCTGGCACTCGTCCTTCTGTCATAACTTTCTATTGTACGAAATTTAGCTTGAGATGGTCGAGTGTTCGGTCCGGCTGGCTAGCTTCAAAGTGCATTAGATTTATAATGCACTTGGTTTCGTTTTCCAATGCAAGGCACTTTGTCTTCATGGGTATGATGCGGCCAGCCATGGCTGAGGGTGAGACCACCCCGTTTACATGTAGTCCGCCGCCGCACACACATATGGAAAATTATGCTTAAGCTGCTAATCTATGATTTTCGAAATTGTTTCACAAGTGTCATAAATCAATAAAGTACCAATAAGTCGTTGGACAAGATATGACACTAGCACTAGCAGGGGTGTGGAGCATAAGGGGGGAAATTATCGATTAGGGTACCTTGGCTCGAAGTGAGGTCTTATAAAATATTGCAATTGACTTCAACAGATAGTCAATGATCTTTGACTCCAAGTCAATGATCTTTGACTCCAAGTCAATGACCTTTGACAAGATATGGCAGGGGTGTGGAGCATAAGGGGGGAAATTATCGATTAGGGTACCTTGGCTCGATTTCAAGATTTATAACATATTCCCAATGATCTTGGACTCCTTCTCAATCTTCGATTCCAAATCATATATCTTTGACCCCTAGTCATAAGTCTATGACTGGAAGTCAATGAGCCTGGAGCCCAACTGGAAGTCAATGATCCTGGACCCCGACTGAATAACTATGGACAAGCATTCCCTGATTTTGGCTTCCTGTCATGATCTTTGACTCCAAGTCAAGCCTTTGACTCCTTGTCATTGATCTATGACTCCTAGACCCAGATTCAATAATCTTTGACTGGGAGTCAAAGTTCTCTAACTACGTGTCAATGACATTTTACTGAGAGTCAATGATCTTTAATTTTCAGTCAATAATTTTTGACATTTCGTTAAGGGTCTTTGACTTCAAGTCAATGACCTTTGACTTCAAGTCAATGACTTTTGACTCCGAGTCAATGATCGTTGACTCCAAGTCATTAATCTTTGACTCCGAGTCAATGATCATCGATTCCGAGTCAATGATTTCGGAGCAACAGTTCATCATTTTTTGGCTTTCAATCAATGATCTTTGACTCCAAGTCAATGACCTTTGACGCCTAGTCAACATTCATAAATTCCATTCAACAATCTTTGATTTCGTGTCCGAATCATTGACTTGGAATCAAAATGTAAGGACGATCGAGTCAATAATCTTCGACTCGGAGTCAATAATCGTTGACTACGATTCAATGATCCATAAAAAAGTCAATGATCCAGGACTCGAAGTTAATGATTTTGAACAAGACGTTCATGATTTTTGACCTTTAGATAATGATCTTTGACTTCAAGTCAATGATCTTGGACTCCGAGTCAATTATTTTGGACGAGCAGTCCATTTGACTCTAAAGTCAATGACCTTTGACTCCAAGCTAATGATCATTGACTCCGAGTCATTGAACTTTGACTCAATGATCTGGATTGGAAGTAAATGATCTTGGACTCCCATTCAATGATTAGATATTTGAGTCTCAGTCAAGGATGTTTGACTCCAAGTCAATGACCTTTGCCTCCGAGCCAATGATCGTAGTAAATGAACCTTAGCGATCAATGAAATGATATCTAATTCATAGTGAAAATATTTCTAACTCCTGCAGCCAGTCATAGATCTTTATCTCCGAGTCATTGGCCGTTGACTCCAGTCAATGACTTCTGACCCCAGTCAAAATAATTTGGATTGAGTCGATGATTGCAGATCGACTCTGATTCAAAGTTTTCCGACCGTCAATCAATGATTTTTGACTTTCCGTCACGGATTTTTACTCCGAGTTAATAACCCTGACTCCGAGCCTTTAAATACAGGTATCGTGAACTTTTTGTTAAGATTTTTCGCAAAGGAAGTTCAGAGCAAAACCGGGGATTTTAATTTTCTAACGGACCTTCTGAAGCGCCTTCAGGGCAAGATTTAAAATTAAGATTTTTCTAAAGTCTTTGTGTTTTTCTAAATAGAGGATTTTTTCTGAACGACCTTCAGAGTAGAAATTTTGGATTTTTTAAGAATTTTCTTAAAGGATATTCAGAGCAAAAAATGTGGATTTGAATTTTTTTGAGCACCTTGTTAGTGCAAATTGCGGGCTTTTGAGGTACTAATTCCAAAGTAACTTCAGAGTAAAATTTACAGATTTTTCGGTATATTTTTCTCTAAAGGACCTTCAGATTACAAATTGGGGATTTTTATAAGTTTTTTTCTAAAGGACCTCAAGTATAAAATATTGTTCGATTTTTTTGGAAATTTTTTTAAAGATTTTTTAAGACTAAAATCGTGGATTTGTATGAATTCTTGTCCGGAGAATATTAAAATAACAAAAAACATGATTTTTTTTCTCATAATTTTCCCTAAAGGACCTTCAGTGTACAAATGTGTATTTTTCAAGGATTTTTTTTCGTCAGAGAAAAAAATGTGATCGTGGCTTATTTTTTTTTGTAATTTTCCAAAGTCCAAAATTACCTTCATGAGTTCATGACCTTTAGAGAACAATTCAAGGATCTTTGTGGTTTATCCAAAAATCCTTAAGAGTCGAAATTGTGATTTTTTTTTTAATTTTTTCTAATGGAACCTTAGAGTCAAAATCCCGGTGTTTTACGATCCCAATCTTAGATTTTAAGGATTTTTTTCTAAAGGACCTCACTGTACAAATCGTGTAATTTTTAAGAGTTTTTTTCCAAAGGACCTCAGAGTACAAATCGTGGATTTTTTAAGAGTTTATTTTTCCAAAGGGCCTCAGGGTACAAATCGTGGATTTTTAAGAGTTTTTTTTTCCAAAGGACCTCAGAGTACAAATAGTGGATTTTTTAAGAGTTTATTTTTCCAAAGGGCCTCAGGGTACAAATCGTGGATTTTTAAGAGTTTTTTCATAAGGACCTCAGAGTACAAATCGTGGATTTTTAAGAATTTTTTTTCCAAAGGACCTCAGAGTACAAATCGTGGAATTTTTAATAATTTTTTTCCAAAGGACCTAAGAGTACAAATCGTGGATTTTTAAGAGTTTTTTTCCAAAGGACCTCAGAGTACAAATTGTGGATTTATTTAAGAGTTTTTTTTTTCATAAGACCTCAGAGTACAAATCGTGGATTTTTTATTATTTTTCCTACAAGATTTTCTGGCTACAAATCGTTGATTTCTTTAACAATTGTTTGCAAAGGACCCAAAATCGAGTATTTTTAGTTTCGTTTATTTTAAGAATTATACCTCAAAGGACCTTCAAGGTACAAATCGAAATCGTCAAAACAAACTTCCCGCTGTCGAAGAATTTTTTTGAAGAATCTTTAGAGCAGTATTGGTGAAATTTTAAGATTCTGTTCTAAAGGACCCTCAGAAGAAGGACAAAATGTCCGCTCCTGTATTTCCCTCTGCAGTTCTTGCCTATCACTTGCCATCCTCATGCAAACGGCAAGATGACAATTACACACACCAGAAAATGCAAATTTCGCAAAAGGATTCTCCAGTCGAAACCAAGAGGTGACCGGCTCCTTGCAGCCAGACACGAAAAGCAATGCAATTGCAGCACCCGACATCAACAACATATTTCATGCAATTTCAATTGAATTCTAAATCAATCAGATTGAGACGATGACATATAGAGCCGAGAGCAATAACAATGGTCACATGCAAGGACACTTGAGTCTTACATTTGTGGGGGGAGGAGGGGAGTGGGATCTAAAAGGAATAAATGCATGCATCTTGCTGGCTGGCCGGCAGGACATTCGGCAAGGTTGTATGCATTAAAATCATAAATCTTTTGCCATGATCATGAATGAATGAAGCAACGGACGAACACACGAAAGGACGAACGCCAGGCAAAAGGACAACAAAAGCTCAAAATATTGCAGTTTGCAATCGTAAATGCAACAAACGGAAATATGGCTAATATGAATTGATTTTGATATATTAATGGTTGAAAGGCAAATGGAAAATGTCCTTGCGCCAGGCTTAAGGACACAACGGAGACAAACTCACTTTGGAGGCATTGAAGCCTACGAACACACACACACAGGTAAGGAAGAATTATAACTTTTGTGATTTTAAATAAATACAGTTGTATGTGTCTGTGTGAGTGTGAGTGTGAGTG